GATCTCATGTTGTTCTCTAGAGGAGATCTCCATTCTGTTCAAGTCTTGATGGACGCACTGGACCATTTCTCTAGAGTTTCTGGGCTGACCCTCAATCCCACTAAATCCAACATCTTCCTCGCTGGAAAATACAGGGACAGTAGTCATGCTCTTTTGGCTCTTGCCTCCTTTCCTCGTGGTCAGCTTCCTGTTAGGTACTTGGGCCTTCCTCTTGCTTCTCAAAGGATATCAGAGAAAGACTTTGCACCGCTCTTCAAAACTGTGGAAGGTTATTTGTCTAAATGGAGTACCCTTAAACTCTCTTATGCTGGGAGATTGGAACTTGTCAGGGCTGTTATACAAGGGGTGCAATCCTTTTGGCTTCAGGTGTTCCCGGTCCAAAAATACGTTCTTGACTGCATCACCTCCCTCTGTAGAAACTTCCTCTGGGGCAGTAAACTTGCAAAGGTGGCCTGGGTGGATATTTGCAAACCAAAGACTGAGGGGGGGCTGGGCCTTAAAGATATTACTTCGTGGAACAACGCACTCTTATGCAAACTCCTTTGGAACCTAGCAGCAAAGAAGGACTCCTTGTGGGTTAAATGGGTCCATAATATCTATATTCAAGGCAGTGATGTTTGGCAGTGGCAACCCAAGAAGAGGAATTCTGTTTTCCTCAAGAGGTTAGCCCATGTACGAGAGCTTTTGGTCCAAAAGCTGGCTGACTGTAATTCCAATATGGACATGGCTATGCAACCCTACTGTTCGGCAGGTGTTCTTATTCCCAGGAAGATCTATGATTTATTTAGGGCAAAGGCCAACCCCAAGCCTTGGATGGCTTTTATTTGGTAAAGTTTCATTCCTCCTAAGTGCTCCTTTACGATGTGGCTAGCACTTAGGAGGAGACTGCCCACCAAAACCAACCTGGAATTCCTCGGAGTGCCCATGGAATGTACCTTCTGTGGTCAAGAGCTTGAAGATGTGGACCACCTGTTCTTTACCTGCGCGGTTTCTAAAGACGTTTGGAGGGTTGTCAAAGACTGGCTACGGATGGAAGGGCAGTTGAGTACTCTCCCTAGAGCTATCAGGTGGCTGAAGGGCTTTAAAAGAGGAGATGAAATTCTCAAAAAGGCAAGGAAGATTGCCTTAGCTTGCACGGTTTTCCACTTATGGAAACAGCGCAATGTCGTTTACTTTGATCATGAACCACTATGTGTTGAGACTATGGTTTTTAAAATCAAGGTTATGGTCTTTTCCATTTTGGGGAGATTATGGCCTCTACGTACTTTTCCCTTATGATGTTGTTGTATTTGCTGTTTGTTGGCCTGTGCGCCCTTGTTTTGAATTGATTACTTGTTTACGTTTGAACTTGGTGATGTTGCCATTTGTTTCTTTGGATTTGGTTTTACCATTTCCCTGCTCGGGTATGCCCGTTCTATTTGTATATCCTACTCTTTAATCTATTTACATTTTATCGTTGAAAGAGCTCTCAATCATTATTTACAGATGGTTTGACAAACACAGTGGCTTCTTGGTTTAATCCAGATGAAATTGAGGAGGATGATAAGCTAAAATATAAGAAGGCCAATTACTGTAGGGTCCTCATCAACATGGACCTATCCAAGACTCCACCCTTAAATGTGCCTGTTAAGTTTGTGGGAGGAAGCTATAACCAGAAAGTGGAATATGAAGACATGCCACAGTACTGCCACCACTGCCGATGCTTTGGTCATGACCCTTTCAACTGCAAAGTTCTTCATGAAATCAACAAAAAGAGATTTAGTGAAGAACAAAAAGCAAAGGAGAAGGCTAGGGTTGAAACCCTTAAGACCATCATGTTAACAGAGGCTAAGGCAGCTGCAGAAACTGATAACCAGGTGAAGACTGGGAAAAATACTGAAAAAACAGATGGTAAGGAAGGAAAGGAAAACCAGGACAAGGGAAAAGGAATTCTCGTTGGTGATGATGGTGGAGGCAATGAGAAAATTGATCCTAATGATCCCTCACCATCATTCACTGTCTTTGTGGACAAGGATGGGTTCACTCAGGTTGGGGGAGGAAAAGGTAAACTAACAACTCACCCAATTAGAGATGCTAAAAAGCCCTACCAAGAAAGAGGAGGAGGACAGATGGGAGGACAGAGAGGTGCTTTTACTAGAAGCAGAGGGAGGGGCCAAGGCCCTTACCAGTGAATGAAGGTACTTTGCTGGAATATTAGAGGCCTTGGCAGGGCCTCTAAGCAGACTTTTTTGTGTAAATACATTTTTGAACTTGGTGTGAACTTATGCTGTATCCTTGAAACCAAGCTGAGTGAATCTAAACTCTAGATTTTTGCTAATAATAAGCTACCCTCCTGGAAATTTTTACATAATTTTGACTTCATCCAGGATGGGAGAATGGCTGTTTTTTGGAATCCCACTTTTGTTGATTGTACTGCCATGGATATTACTGATCAACTGATCCATTGCACAGTGAAATGCCTCACGTCTCAGAAAACTTTTGGGATCTCTTTTGTGTATGCTCTGTATAATGTGACAATAAGAAGGACCCTTTGGGACCATGTTTCTGATCTGGGAAGGAATATTAATATGCCTTGGGCTGTTATGGGGGATTTCAACTCTGTCATTGCCTCTGATGAGAGAATGAATTGTCATACCCAAGGTGCTTACTTTATGACAGACCTTCGCCAATTGAGACTCAATAATGACCTCATGGATGCTAGAGCATCTGGTATGCAGTTCACCTGAAATAAGGGGAACAAATGGGCCAAGCTGGATAGAGTGTTGGTCAACTATGAATGGGATCTTTTGAACTGGGACTGCTGGGCTGAATTCAAGGATATGGAACCACAGTCTGATCACTGCCCAGTTGTTCTCAACCTTACCAGTCCTAACTACCAGGGCAGTAAATCCTTCAAATTCTTCAATATGTGGTTGAAGAATGAGAGATTTGATGATGTCCTAACGGAGATCTGGAGCAAAAGGGTTGAGGGCACCAGACAGTACAGGTTGTGTAGGAAACTCAAGCTTTTGAAACAACCTTTGAAAGAGATCAACAGAGCAGAGTATGGTCACATCTCCCTTAAAGCTTTGGATGCCAGAAACAAATACAGAAATATTATGAGTAAATTGGTTCTTGACCCTAATAATCAAACCCTCATCACTGAGAGTGAGGTAATCAGGAAGAGAGCCAATTTCCTCCAGGATGCAGAAAAAAGCTTCTTCCAGAAGAAAACCAAGTGTGAGCTACTCATTGAAGGGGACAAATGTAGTAAGTTCTTTCACAACTTGATGAAAAAGAAGACAGCATCAAATGGAATCCCTTTCCTTGTTACTGACCAAGGGAATCTGACACAATCACTTGAGAGCATTGCCAAGGAATTCATTCACTATTTCACCCAACTGTTTGGCAGTACTGCCCCCATCCAACAGCTAGATTGGGGTGTTTTCTCTGAAGGACCAAGCCTTGCTACCATGGATGCTACACAACTCACAAAGGAGGTAGAAATTCAGGAGGTCAGGGAGGCCCTTATCTCAATAGGCAATAACAAATCTCCAGGCCCTGATGGATATACAGCTGCCTTCTTTAAGGAGAAATGGAACATCGTTGGCCAAAACCTTTTTGAACCTGTTTCTGAGTTCTTTAGAAGTGGAAAGCTCCTCAAGCAACTCAACCATGCCATTGTGGTTCTTATACCTAAGGTGAAGGACAATCCTGGGGTGAGAGACTTCAGGCCTATTGCCTGCTCGAATGTTGTTTACAAAATCATCACTAAAATCCTATCTAATAGGATGAGTAGTGTCCTACCTGGGCTTATCAATCACTCCCAGGATGCTTTTGTAAAAGGGAGGAACTTGGTGGATAGCATACTGCTAGCACAACACATTGTTAGAGGTTATGCCAGGAAGAGATCTCCACCAAACTGCATGCTAAAGGTGGATATTACTAAGCCTATGACACCATTGACTGGGGCTTTCTGGAAAATGATATGAAAGGATTGGGTTTCCCATCTAGATTTGTACACTGGGTTATGGAATGTGTTACCACTGCCAGCTTTTCACTCTCTATTAATGGAGGGCTACATGGTTTCACTAAGTGTAAAAGGGGGATCAGGCAAGGAGACCCCATGGCACCTACTCTGTTCCTGTTTTGCATTGAGTATCTGTCAAGAGTACTCAATAAAATGACCAGGGAAAGGAAGTTCAGTTATCACTCAAAATGCTCCAAACTGAAGATTTCCCATATTGCTTTTGCAGATGATATTATGATGTTTTCTAGAGGTGATCACAATTTTGTCCAAGTCCTAGCTGATGCCCTTAAACATTTCTCTTTGGTGTCTGGTCTGCATGTGAATGCTCAGAAATCCAACATCTACTTGGCTGGACAAATCAAGGGAAATATACAGCTGCTGCTCAACCTGGTTAACTTCCCTCAGGGTAGGCTTCCTGTCAAATATTTGGGCCTTCCACTCACTTCTCAAAGGGCAACTGAAAGAGACTTTGCCCCTCTTGTGGATATTGTTGATGCTAATATTAGAAGATGGAACACTAAAACTTTGTCTTTTGCTGGAAGAAGTGAATTGATTAAGACAGTTATACAGGGTATTGAAGGATTTTGGCTCCAAGCTTTCCCTATCCACAAATCTGTCTTCAATAGAATTATCTCCTTCTGCAGATCATTCCTTTGGGGCAGTAAATTTTATAAAGTGGCTTGGGATGACATCTGTAAACCTAAGGAGGAAGGAGGCCTGGGTATCAGAAACTCTTTTGCTTGGAATCAGGCTATGTTGGCCAAAAATCTTTGGAACATTGCCTCCAACAAGGAAACACTTTGGGTACAGTGGGTTCATACAGTCTACCTCAAAGGGAGAAGTTTCTAGACTTGGATCCCCAAAAAGGGGGATTCACACCTCTTCAAAAAACTTGCTGAGGTGAGGGACAAGCTTGTTCATAAAATTGGTGATGCTCATGATGATATGGAAGAAAATATGAGGAGCCTTTAGGGGGAGGAAGGGGAAAACACAGCAAAACTGTATGACATCCTAAGGGTTCAGGGTGTCAAACAACCCTGGATGAAAATTATATGGCAGAGCTACATTCCCCCAAGATATTCAGTTACTGCTTGGATGGCACTGCACAAGAGACTTCCCACAAAGGCTAATCTTATCTTTGTGGACATGGACAGGAAATGTAGTCTCTGTAATGAGAGAGAGGAAACAACTGACCACCTCTTCTTTAAATGTAATGTCAGTAAAGCCATTTGGAAGAACATCAGAGACTGGCTACACATTTCCCCTGCCCTACTACTATTGAAAGAACCATGAAATGGGTGTGTAGAAGACATGGACAACATGGGGATGTAGGGAAGCTCGGGAAACTAGCCAGCATGAGCACTATCCATCATATTTGGAAGTTGAGGAATGCTGTATATTTTGATAGCAAAGCTGTCAATAAAGAAGCCACGATTTGCCAAATCAAGGTGGGAGTCTATAAAGTGGTTTATAGACTCTTCCCTAATGTTATGATTGCACTGTAAGTCCTTTCTGCTCTTTGGACTGATTGTCCTGTCTACTTTTGAGCTGCTTCTTTCTGCCTAACCTCTACAGCTTGCTTGTGGATTGGTTATGCTTACTCTGGGCGATGGGTGGTTGGAAACAAAACTGATGCTGGATGTTTGTCCCCCCTGGACAAACCTCCATCAACTGTTTTGGGTCCTGGTTTGGGCTGGTAATACCACACCCTTTGGTAATTTGTGTTACTAAAGGATGGGTTATTACATTGGTGGTCTTGGTGGTTGGGGTGGGAACAAGGTTGAGCTTGAAGATGCCTTGATGGATCCTTAAGTTCACCCTTGGGCCAGGTTAGGGGTTGGAGACCTACTGCTCTTGGCTAACTTGTGAGTTGCCTTGAACTGGTAGGTCCTCTTGGGGTGCTGGGGGACTTTTTGGAACAAGACACACCCTATATATTGCCATTAATCTCTAGGGAGTATTTTGGGCCAAATTGTTTCTCAAAAAACTGTTTTTCCTGCTTTCTTAAGCCTAGACCATTAATCCTTGATTAATGGCCTATGCATTTTCTGGTGGTTGGAAGTGTGGAAACTTAGTTATTGATGATGATTTACCCCTTGGGTAAATCACCACCAATTCATTTGGGTCCTGGTTAGGGGTTGGAGGGGGTATGTCCATGAGTAAACCTTGGTTGCTGATGGAAATACAACCTCACTGGTGGTTTCTGGTCTTCTGGAACTAGTAACACCCTGAGGATGCCTTGGTGGATCCCTAGGGAGTAACTAGGGCCTTGTTGTTTGGTTGTGTTGGATTGGTACAGTTTATTGGTGTGGCTTTGATTGTGACCCGATGGTTGGCTATTTCTGAAACACTGGTTGTGTAACCTTGATGTGACCTGCTCGGTTTGGGTGGGGGTAAACCCTGTTAGTTTACTTATGGGGTGGCGAAAACTGGCTTACCTCTACTTACTCCTTCTGGATATGTAGAGAGAAGCTAGGGTTCTGGTTGGGGTGTTTCACACCTTTCCTTTCTTTTTCCCCCCTCTCCCTCCCTTCTTGCTGTAATGTCTTCTCCCCCCCTCCTTTCTTTCTTGGACATCAGTCTTAATGTATTGAGGCACCCATTCTTCAGAGTGAACTAATACATATTTGACTGGTGGACTGGGGCTTTCTGGGGTGGGACTGGGTTTACCCTGCCTTGGAGTGGTGGAAACAAACCTACCTCTGTGTACCCCTTCTGGATACATAGAGTAAGGATTGGGTCCCAGGTTGGGATGTCTCTACATCCTCTTCTTTCTTTCTCCCCCCCCTCCTCCCTTCTTTCTTTCTTTCCTTTCATTTCTCTCATGACATTGATTTTTCCAGGGATCTTAACCATGATACCTGTTACCAATCATTCTTCAGAGTGGCCAGGGTACATGGTGAGGTCCTTTGGCCTTGGTTGATAACTTGTACGTTGTTTGAACTGAACTTTGATGAGGTTATCATCTGGATTAGTCACCACTCTTTTGAAAGGTGACTAAATTCAACACTTTGAAGATGGGAACCTTTGGATGGCTTGAATGAACTTGGGACCTGCAAGGACTTTGGACTACAATTTTGACAATGGACTTGGGATTTGCAAGGTTGGGGTACACCAGATTCTTCAGGCAGATTGTTTTGGGATTGACTTGAGGAATGCCACTGCAACTGGGCCTGCATGATGACTGTCTAGCTGAAGGCACTGATTGAGTATACCATGGCGCTCCAAACCAACCCTGTGATGTAGAAGAGTGTACCACTCTTCGAAGGGAATTGGGTTCACTTACCTGATGGCCATACTTGATTGAACCTGGGAGCTGCAAGGACATGGGACTGGACTTCTGACATTGGACCTGGGATTGCAAGGCTGGGGTACACCAGATTCCTCAGGCAGCTTGGGATTGGCTTGAGGAACTGCCTGATGATTGTATGGCTGTGGTTACTGATTGTGTTTACCATGGCGCTTCAAACCAACCCTGCGTTGTAGAAGAGAGTACCACTCTTCGAAGGGATTTGGGATCACTTCTGACTGGCTTCACAAGGAATCTGTTGTTTGTTCATCGTTTGGATTATGGTACCACTTGATGGTTTAATTCTGTATTTTGGAATTTGTATGGTTTGGCCTCCCTGTGTTGTAGAAGAGACTTACGACTCTTCGAAGGGAATGTTATAGGCCATGCTTGTAATTGTTGTAATGCGATGTTGTAAGCTTGTAGTTGTACTTTTCTTTTATGCGTGTAACCATGTTGATGGTTAAGCATACAACATTGATGTACTTGTTTCGCCT